AGGTAAGCTAAGATAAACCTGAGCTAAGATGAAGCTAAGCTAAGCTAAGATGAAATAAGCTAAGATGAGATAAGCAACGCTAAGCTAAGGGGACGTAACTGGGGGAACCGCGGGGCGGATGCCGGGGGAACCGCCCGGGGCGCTTTCCACTGCCCGGCCCCTTTAAGCTCTGAAGTAAGAACCCTTCTAGGCAGAGCCTAGGTAGGGAACAATGTGTTTAGAAGGATTTCGACGTGCGCGCGCGGCGGCCACGCGCATGTGCGCCTTATGGTATTATTTACAAGGGCTTCGTGAAAAAGTGTTATGTTAGAACAAAAATGTCACCGCATTTACAAGGGAATCTCAACGGGGGGGGGAACCCGGTTGGCCTGGGACATTGCGACTTCATATTTAGGATGGACATGTGGTCAGAATGATATGTGATTTACATAGGACGCGGGGGGAGTGATAACGCCGGGGGGGGGTAGAGTCTTTATCTCTTTTAGAAGGGAGAATCTAGGTTGTGCAAATTGTGGTGTGCGGTGTTGCTGGTGCGACCTACGTGGTGCAATCTATGATTTGCAATATGTGTGGAACAATCTATGTGGCGCAATTGATTTTTACACATTATGTGACACATCTCATGCTCTTGCAAACATCCCACCCACCCACCCGCAATTTGGTTTGCAAAACCTCTTAAGACCGTGACGGCAGGTTCCACATGGCACCTGGCAACGACACCGGCGCCGACGACGACGACGCCGACGACGACGACGTCTCCGACGTCTCCGACGACTTCGACGACGACGACAACGCCGACGACGACGACACCGACGACGACGACGACGCCGACGCCGACGACGACAACGACGACGACGATGACGACGCCGACGAGGACGACGACGACGCCGACGACGACGTCGACGACGCCGACGACGACGTCGACGACGACGACGACAGCGGCGACGACGACGCCGACGTCGACGGCGACGACGACGACGCCGACGCCGTCGCCGACGCCGACGACGACGACGACGACGTCGCCAACGAGGACGACGACGACGACATGTTCCTCGTCGACTGAATCAGAAGAACGGCAAACAACATAAACATAAACATAAACATACACTTTTGGAGGTCCGCGCGGGTTTCTTGCCCCTCCCTGGCGCGCGGAGCCTGGCAGGGGCGGCGCTGGAGGCGCCGCAAGGTGGAGCCAATGCCGATCCAAGAAGCCCGCATGAAACTCCAAACTATATGCTTATGTTGCATATTCTTGGAGAACTTAATCGTGCATCTACTGACCCGGATCAATCCAGACACGGGTCAGTCAGACGTTGCAGTATCCTGCAGGATCCTGCACCAAAGCCCCGGTCGGTACAGCCCTGGCTCTGCAGGGTCCTGCAAGACCCTGCGCTGTGACTGACCCCCGCTTGCATTGACCCCGTCTCTTGAGCCCCGACTTCGAGCGCATTTTTTTTCGCGGCTATAACGGGCGTTATGCGTGGGAGGGAGGGGGGACGGGAGGGGGCATAACGTAGCGCCCACCACCCCCCCAAACTGTGGTGCCGAACACACTGCGGCAGTGCCGGAGACGCACTGAGGGGGTGGAGGCGTTACGTTATAGGGGGAAGGGAGAGGGGGGCGGGAGGGTCGGGGGGCACATCGCGCGTGATGGCCCTGGGGATCAAAAAAACACAACATCTTCATCACAACCAGCATTCATCCCCCGGCCGGATCCACGGCGCCATCCACGCCCTCGACGCCCCCCCCCCCGTGACTCCCGTGACGTGGGCAGCCCCCCCATGCCCGCCTGCCGCGTTACCGCCCCCCCCCCACCTCCGTGGCGCACCCGAGGCAACGGGGCGCGGCGCCCCTTGAGAGAGAACAGCTCTCGCGGTGACAGCGGAGGAGGAGGAGGAGGAGGAGGAGGAGGAGGAGGAGGAGGAGGAGGAGGAGGAGGAGGAGGGAGGAGGGAGGAGGGAGGAGGAGGAGGAGGAGGAGGAGGCGGTGACATCAAGACTCAGTCGGGCCCAGGCCAGAAGAACGTCCTTCCAGAGCATGAGGCCCTCCGTCGGCCAAAACCAGCAGAACATCCAAGGGCACCCTCCCCAATATGGCCCGACAAACACGAAGAACACAGGGGTACTGATGGGCGTGTTTTCCACCACCACCACCATCAGTTGGAGGGGGGAGGAGGAGGAGGACGAGGAGAAGGAGGACGAAGAAGAGGAGGAGGAGGACCCCCTCCCCCTCCAACTTATGGTGGTGGTGGTGGAAAACAGGCCAATCAGGTACCCTCTCCGAACCGATCGCGATCTTATACCTCGGTCCGACTGTAAACCGCCGGAGGTCCGCGCGGACTTCTTCGACCTGCACGGGGCCTCCCTCCCTCCCTGGCGCGAAGAGCGTGCCAGGAGGCGTGTGGCCGGAGGCGCCGCCGAGGGGTCCCGGGCACCGGTCCGAGAAATCCGCGCGCAGACCCGAAAGTGTATGTTTGTGCAATTTGCCCTTTTCGAGTCTCACCTGGCATGCGACTGGTTCGCATGGCGATGACGTCGGCGTTGTTTCCAGCACCGCGTGGATCCTTTAACTTTGAGCGATCCCGGCTTTCCGACAGCGCAGATCGGATGATATCAGCCGATTCTGAAGCACTGGCGTGAAGGGCAACGATAGGGGGGGACTGACTCAGTGGGGGGAACATCGAGCTTGAGTCGGGGACGCATCTTCGATCGTAGAAGAAGGACAAACCATATAAACATACACTGTTACCGCGCGGATTTCTTGGATCTGCGCTGGACCCCTCCCTGGCGCGCGGAGCGAGCGCCAGGGACGGCGCCGGAAGCGCCGCCGGGGGGGCCCAGGCGCGGATCCAAGAAATCCGCGCGGAGCGCCAAAAGTTCATGTATATGCGTTCGAGGTAGATCGGCCACAGGCCCCCCATACCACATCTGCACGGTCTTGTGCGGGTCGGAGCCGTCGGGCGCCCATCGGCGATTGGGGTTAGGTCGGGCATGTCCCCCTAAAGGCGGATTTTGGACGAAACAATAAAAATAGTTGAAACATGCTGGCAAAATGTCACAAAAATAATCCCAAAATCGTCCCTACAGACTATTTGCTCACCATCTTTGCAGCTTCCTCCTGTAGAGGGACGTGCCCGACTTCAGATTGGGGGTCGATGCGTCCCCCCCTGAGCCGATCTCCTCCTGACGTTGCCCCTCACTGCGGCGTTCCACCCCGAACGCCCGCGCCGGCGTGTCCGCGTCGTCGCCGCGTCGACGCAGCGCGACCTTACCGTGGCCCGAGAGAGGGTGCGGAGGAAGGGTTCGGAGGGTGAGGAGGAAGGGTCAGAGGAGGAGGAGGGTGAGGAGGAAGGATTGAAGGAGGAGAAAGGAGGAGGGCGAGGAGAAGGGGTTGGAGGGGGAGGGTGAGGAGGGTGCGGAGGAAAGGTTAGAAGAAGAACAACAAAAAAATAAACATAAACTGTTGGCGCTCCGCGCGGATTTCTTGGATCTGCGCCTCCCCCCCCTCCCTGGCGCGCGGAGCGAGCGCCAGGAGAGGCGCCGCCAGGGGGGCCCAGCGCAGATCCAAGAAATCCGAGCGGAGCGCCAAAAAGTTTATGATTATGCAGTTTGTTTTTCTTCGAAGGGTGCAGTAGAGGTTCCATCGCAAGGACATCGTCGCGAGGGGCCCGTGCCCCGAGGATCCCTTGAGTCAGGTCGGAATTCTAGACGAAAACATTGAAATACACTTAAAATGCTCCGAACATGAGCAACAACAGTTTAACAAAAATAGTCCCCATACGACTTTTAATATATTTTTGAAGATTCCTCCTCTAGACTCTGGAGGGACAAGCCCGACTTCCCTGGTCTGGGTTCGTCGGCCTGGGGCCTTCCGCGAAGCATGGGCTCCAGCAGCACGAGGCTGCGGAGCGGAGCGGTCGCTCGAACGCGCACGGACCACGGAAGACCTCGGCACCTTCGGCGCCGCACTGGGCTCTCAGCATCCAGACAAGCGCGCTCCACGACTCGCAAAACAAACTACAGTCGGACTCGATTGGAGAGGACACGCGAGAGGACACGAGACCCTTGCGGGGGCCACACTGCCATGGGAATGCGAGAAGGCATGGGCCGCGAGGCACAGGACACAAGGGTAACCCTTCATTTGGCAGGGTCGAACTACTAATCCGGTGCGACTGTACTCGCAGATGGCCTGGATCTGCCTTGGGGGATCTACGATACACTGCATCGATGCAGACGTGTTTTTGTCGGACGTTTGCGAGTAGGCACGCTGCGAGCAGCGGAACGCGCTCGGTGAGCAACGGTACCTTCGCAGGGTTCTCTTCAGCAGTGGGCGATTGGCAATAGCCAGCCGAATAAGCGGCCGCGGGAGAAGCCAGAGGTACCCCGAATTGCCGGAGTAGCTTAGAACTTACAGATGCCCGGCCCGGCACTGCTCGCGCAGAACCGCAGAAACCAATGGCTCACCTCGACGGACCTATTTGATGAATGCCTCGACAGACGGGTAAATGAAGAGTAATCGGCAGGGGCAGCGGGTGTGGCAATGGACATCGCGGAGGGCTACATTGTCTTGCTTGGAGCGATCGCTCGTCGCACAGCCTTGTGGGGCGGCAGCACGGCTCAAAAAAGGGCCGAAATGAGGCTTGAGCGCATGCCCGTCTCGACTTCCGCATTTCACAGCTGGCGTTAGGTCGGGCATGCCCCCCTGCAGACTGGTTTTGGACGGAGAATAAAACATAGTCAAAAAATGGGCCAAAACGATCAAACATTGTTGAAAAATCGTCCCCTGTCTATGTTCTAACTATTTTTGAATATTCCTCCTGTAAAGGGACAGGCCCGACTTGAAGCTGGTGGAACCTTGCTGCCGCCAACATGCTGCTCGACTGCCGAGCCCGTGCGCCTTTGCCCGTGGGATCGCAAAGGTTTCCTCCTCCCGCTCGCGCCTCTTTCCGCACGCCGTCCCCCGCCTCCCCCGCTCGCCGGCGCCCCAGGAGCTGCGCGGCATCACCGCTTCCGCTCTGGCAGCCACCTGACGCCCCACCCCCCTGGGCTGTGGAGATAGGGAGCCCACAAAGGACGTACGCGCCCAGCTATGTGCATGAACACGGCCCCTCGATTCGCGAGACCGGCCGCGTGATACGAACATTTTTGCAATGCGTGCTCTCGAAACCAGCGTGGATTCATGTACATGTACGTCCTTCTTTCGCTCCTGAGGAGAGGAGGCGCCAGGCTCGCCCCCAAAAAAACCTCGGGGGCATGCTCCCGACGAGAGCCTCTGGATCGCGGCACCTCGTGGATGCGCCCCGCCGGGCGAGCGCTGCAGAGACTCGGCAGGGCTCTGCCCGTGCTGGCTCCCTGAGAGGCCCGAGGCCGAGGACTGCACCAGAATCGGGGAGACGTAAGACCCGGGTACGGGAGACTCGGAAATCCCCGACGAGGTCGTCAAAAAAATGACGAGGCCGAGCCTGCATTTTGACGAGGCCTCCCGCTGCAGACATCCAACGAAACTCCTCCTCGTCAAAATCCGAGGCGCGGTCGTCAAAAAACGATGGCGAACCCGAGTCCTGGCAAACCCGGGTCTTACGCTCCCCCGACAGAATGCATTGCACGACCAGGTCCAGGCAAACGTTGACCCATCGATCTGCCCGTGCCACTGCTCGCACCAGAACTCAACGAGCCCCTACGACGGGGCAGGATCAGCCAGCATCGAATCAGGAAAACCGGATCGGATCGGACTGCACGCCAGCTCGGGCCGCATCGGCGCGGAGTCAGCACCGGGTCGCATCGGCTGCGCCAGGATGCACAGCAGCGCCATGCAAGGACCGGTCCGCGTCGGTTCGTCGGCACTTCGGAATCGAACCGGATCGGACCAGCCGAACTCGACATCGGATCGGTCCGCGTCGGATCGGGGTGGTCCCCGGGGGGGGCGGAGCGGAGGCGAGGACCCAAGTTCGCCCTCCGAGGCCAGAGGCGGCTGTCCGTGACGAGCGAGCAACACACACCCATACCCATAGGGGGGTCGTTGAGAGGAGGACTGGCTATGGGTATGGGTGCGGGTTGGCGGACCCTGGGGAACGCTCTCGTTCGAGCGGGGACCCCATCCGACAACACGCACCCATAGCCCTCTCCGACCCCCCTATGGGTATGGGTGTGTGTTGTTGGTTCGTCATGTCCGCGCCCTGCCCCGCCCGCCGCCGCCCCGCGTGGGAGGCAGCAGCGGGAGGCCTGGGCAGAGCGTCGACCGGTGAGCGACGGCCATCGGTGGCTCCAAGATGAGGTCCTGAGGGATGGGGTCCTACAGTAGGAGCTCGACCACAAGAAGCCTTCCGCAAGAACCCCAACCCTGAGATCCCAGGATGTCCACCGACTTTTGGTATGGGGACGTCACGCTCTCCATCGTAGACCATCGAAACCCAAGAAACCGAGGGCACCCTGGAGGCAATCAGGGTGTTTCTTGGCATGGGCTTCCTCTGTATGTCAAACGAAACCTCCTCCTGATAGGCTCTGACTGCGAGTGAGCGGCGGTAAGATGACACGTTTATCTCGCCGAAGGCGCGTCAGCTACTAAAGGTGCCTGTAAGCCAAAAGATGATGACACACATATACAACAGAGCATGACACATGCACAGGCAAAGAATAGAATAACAAAGAGGTTTAATCTCATAGGGACACACTGAATTCACACAGTGGACCCCATTTTAGTGAGATTAAAACCGGGAGAAACTGCCATCAATGGGCCTCGGCGCTGGACAGAACTGCACTGGAAGGATGGGAAACAAAACTCGTGACATAGAGCTGCACACGTTACTGATGCCATAGCAAGGTCTTAAAACTGAATGCTTGAGGCGTGAGCCCTAGCATAAGATGCGAGTCATGCATAATACTGAGGTGGACTATACCTCCCGAAAGTTCAGCCGCTTCAAAAGCTCAGGAACCCTTCCAACACCGACCAAGAGAGAGAAAGAGAGAGAGAGAGAGAGAGAAAGCAGAGAGAGCAGCCGGGGCAGGAACCACGGCGGGGGGCGGCGCGGGCGGAGACAGCAAGAGAGAGAGAGAGAGAAAGAGACGTTTCGGCACGTGAATCCGTATGTCGAGTCGATCTTTACCGTTCTAGCCCTAGACCTCCTGCTCCTCTTCCTCCTCCTCCACATTCTTCTGAGTTCGACTCAGATACTTGCTGGAATACGCTTTGCTCCTGTTCCGAGACGATGGTAGATCCTTTCGCTCCTGCAAGCTATCTGCCTCGGCCACAAGACGCAATAGGCCGGTCTTCAACATCCTGAACTGCGAAGCGTTTCCCTTCGACACATCTGACTTCGTCATAATATCGACGGTCATGGCTGGATGTGGGACCCAGCGAATGCTGCTACCTATTCTCTCCATCACTTCTCTGATAACTGCAAGGTCCACTGCAATTCTGCGATCTGCTTTCGATCCCGAGGTTATCTTATCTAGAGTATCAAAGATTCCTTTGGCGTCAACGATGGACACATTCTTCAAAGGGGACACGTTCAACTCGCTATCCTGCCGGAGGACGGTCGTGAAGGGACCCACATGATCCCTCCATGTGTTCGTCAACAGGCCCCCTTGAGTCACCTCCAAGAAAAGCATCTGAAGCCATTCCGCCTCCCCCAGAGCGGCACTCAAGGAAATGACTTCTCCTCCGAGGGTGGACGGCACCTGTCTTCTGAGGCGGGAGGACCGCCAAGCTAGAGGAGTCACGCGAGAGAGGCGGCCGGTGGAGAGACTCTGATCAGCGGCATACACTCGCCATGCTTGTTGAGCATGTCCTGGCCGGGCAGCACCGATTCCACCCGCATCTGAGGCCGTGCCAAAGATCATCTGACCCTTCTTGAATCTCCACACCGTTATTGGAATCGAGGCAGTACTTCGCAACATGCCCACTGCCTTGTTGGCCTCGAGGGCGTCGCCTACAGTGGGATTGTTGACCCGGGACGCAAGTATAGATGCCGTGCCTGATACTTCAGCTCTGGACTCACGGCCAATCCAATTTAATTTATAAATCAAGGATCTGAAATTAACGCACTCCGCGCCGAGCAATGGCTGGTTGTGATCGCTTCTTCGATGACGAGGGATGTCCAGACGAGTAATCGATTCCAGAATGTACTTTTCCTGGTCGACTTGAGCGCGGTCGGATAATAATCTAATGCGTCGTCCAACGTACTCGACTCCATTCTCGTCGATCCGCTCAAGCTTGCCGAAGTTAAAACGAGAACGAAAACGATCTATGCGTTTCTTAGCTATAGAAGGATGCAAGGCCATGATCCAGTCGTCTACTTCTACAAGTACTTGGCTTAATAGTTCGTTGTCCTTCGTCCTCTCATAGAACCAACAGGGCTCTAGCCGACTCTTGCCATATCCTAGCTCCTTCTGGAAGAACTCTGAGGTAGTGGTATGTAGCGCTAACGGAGCATCGTCCAATCCGTAGACCGGTGCTAGTAATTCTATTAATGAACCTGTCGGCAGATCCAAGCCTTCACAGGGTTCTACAAATACTCTCCCACGAGAACGCGACAAATTATTACTCTGACAGAACGCGTTCTTGAGGTCGCCCACGTAGAGCTCTAAACCGTACATCAAACTTATAGTAATGAATAACATCAAAGCTTCCATCTGAGGTGTCGGCGCATACGCGCTGAGCTCAGCAGTGTCTTCGTCTTCATGTCCCCGAACGCACCAACGGCTCTTGGCCTTGGGCCTAGAGTGGACTCCAGGCTGGGGCTTCCACCGGCGAACCATTCTAGAAGAGACCACTCTGTTGGGAAACAGACGTCTTAGCTCGTGGCCCATGGAAGGAGGATGAACCTTGACAGCACCAGAGCTCGTCATTGCCTTCCACTCAAGACTGTCAGAAGCCCTAAACTCCTCTCGCTCTTCTTCGGTCATTCTCCCAAGATGTGCCTCTTGTCCCTTGTTGGTGGCCAAGCTTAGGCCGCATCCAGAACCTCCAGGAAAAACCTCCACAAACATGTCCGCGTTCCCGTTGAGATATGTCTGCCAGTCTCCACTCCACCCACAGACCTTCAGATGAGAATCAAGGCTCTTCTCGACGTAGTCGGCTCGCTCGTTCCACGAGCCGGGGTCCTCACAGCGATCCTGAAACAGACATAGAGCATCCGGGATCTCCTCGTCGAGGTCCTCATAGAGAACCCAGGTCTCGGCCCCAGGGCCGTCTCGTTGCTCGGGACTCCGGGACCGGGGAGCCTCTCGTTCCTGAATCTGCTGCTGAACTCTACCGTAAGGGATCCCGCCGAAATCCTCCCCCCGGGTGGGCAGCCGTCGGGCCCGAGGGCCCAGGTCTAACATTCGGTTCCTGCGGACCGCCTCGGCTGCGGCACTAGACACGGCCCGCTGAAACTCTTCCTCGGTTCCCCCTGGCAGGGGAGTGGGAAGAGGAGACGGGCGAGGCTCCAGGGACGGTCCCGAACCAGAGGAAACCTCCGGCCCGACTGGGCCTTCAATTCTTGGCTCAACTTGTCGCTCCTGGCCCAACTCCGACCTCGACCCAGAATCGCTCCCGGAGAGCTGCCGTTCAGTCCCTCGGACATCGTCGGACGAAGAATTTTCCACGGACCCAGGGCCCCGAACTTGGCTCCTAGGTGAAGCCGTGGAATCGACAGGCGCCCCAGGCACCGGCACCCCCGAGGCAGCTCCAGGTCGCTCCTGATCCAGAGGCCCTAGGAATCGATCCAGAGGAGCCTCCGCAGGAGGCGGAGAGGAAAGGTGGGGAACGGCCCTGCGTGAGGTTGCGGCACCCGATGGAGTACTTGCTCCACCTGAAGGGGTACTTCGCGTCCCTGTGTCTCCTGCGGGCGCGTCGGAGTGAGCAGGAGGAAGAGACTGCATGCCCTCGAGTCTGGTGGATGCTGGAACTGGATCGGACCAAGCCTCTGCAGGAGGATCGCCTTCGGACTCCACGTCAACTCCGGCTCGTTGATGTCCTGATCTCACCTCTCGAATGAGCTCTTTCACAGCAGGATCGAACAAGATTTCAGCACCTCTTGCTTCTGGATTCGTTGCAGCACGAACTTGACTAGGGGAACACTTCCACAGACGAGTTCTCATTGCCACCCATCCAGTGTTTTGAGAACGCATGATCACAATACCGGGACCTACCCAGCGATCCCGCTGCAAAGCCATCGTCTTTTTCCCTGTTCGAGGTGCTCGTCTCCAAACATATACCCATTGGCCAGAGTGAAAGACGTGGTCTTTGTGCTGCCTCGCTCGATTGGCCTCCTGGACCTTCTGGCGACTGGTGATCCTGAAGAGCTCACGGCGTGCATACTCCCTGATGGAATTGCCCCTGGCGTACCCCGCGGCGACCGTGTCCCGATCCCAAGCCGTTTCCATCAGGTCGGCTGAGCCTACCCCGTTCACAGCGTCATCGGATAGCACGTCGTTAGGGATTCTTGGGTTTTGCCCCAGAACTAACTGATATGGACTGAAACCACCGCGATGGAGGTATCTGTTTTTTGAACTTACGATACCGTGAAGTAGTGTCTCTAGGTCACGCTCATCCGAAACCACCTGATCCTCCATCCCCTTCAGCAACAAGTCCTTCACCCATCCTCCGTGTCTCTCAGCCTTCCCGTTCTCCCAAGGGCTTTCCCCGTTGACGACGTGCAATAGGATACCGTCGTGCTCTGCTCCTCGTCCAAAATACTGTTCGAACTCGGGCCCCCCCGTCGCATATGATCATCTCGGGCGGCCGGAAGTAGCGGGTCCAAGAGGATTGGAAAGCCTCCCAGCACTCCTTAGATCCTCCCTCATATCGCTGCACTACTTGGAAGTTCGTGCCGTGACAGACAATATTTAAGAAGCAGAGGGTCTTGTCTTGGAACGGGATGTAGAACGAATCTACTCCTACCACTCTGTTGAACTGATACGTCTTCGGCAGTGCTACCCTACGATGTGCAGCTGGCTTCTTGTGCGCCGAACATTCCGGACATCTCAAATGCTGTCTGACATAGATCAGGATCTCAGGCTTAGCTTGAGCAGCTTTCAATACTTTGACGAAGTTCTCCGGGCACGGGTGTCCAAGGTTCACATGAAGCTTGTAAATCATGTCCTGAATATTCGGCGTTATGTCGATAGCCGAGGCGATTTCCTGAGCCTCCGCGTCCTCACCTTGCCCCTCCTGATCTCCTGCCTCCTCCTCGGGCCCTGGGACCTGGGGAAAGGAGACAGAGGGAGAGGAAACTGGACACGGGGAGCAGCACAAGCAGGGGCGGCCGTCCCCGTACTTCATCGGAAGCCTGGCTGGCGGCCGCGGACGCACCCCCTCCCCGCTCTCCCGGCCGAGCCTCAGGACTCTAGGAATCAGACCTATCTCCGCACAAGTCACTGGTTCCTCGTGATTTCTAGATTTCTCGCTCCTGCTGATAGCCAGGGCGAGACGCTGACACAACTTCTGGGGATACACCTGAGCCGCGCGAGTGAGAGCACTGCCTTCCAAAGGAATGTGTTCGTGACCTCCCTCGCACATGAAGCCAGAGAGAGTGCGAGCGACCTCTGGGCAATTGGTGAGGAAGCCCGTAGGCTTCTTGGACACCCCATGTGGTGAGACGCACAGATCGAACTGGCAAAGATCGACTCTTATGTAGAAGACACCTGGGTGAGAGATCAGCTCTCTCAGGCACTCCGTGTTCCAGGATGTCGCCGCGTGGGGTTGTTCAAACAAAAACTTCCTGCCAGCCTTGACCTGCGTCCACGCAAGTTCCACCGAAAACCTCAACAACTGCATTCCTTCCGCCTGCTTCCGCAGAACCTCCTCACTGGGCTCCTTGCCCTTGTTCAACGATTGAATCTGAGAAAACGCATTGCACGGAGGTTCAAGCATAAGCATCCAGGGTGTCTCTCTCCGCACATGAGCCTTCGCCTTCCTCTGGTGTCTCTCGAGCCTGAAGTCCCAGCCTGTCGTAAGATCCCGACTCCCCTGGACCTTCACTTGATACTTCCTCAACAGCGGGGACACCCGCGGGGGGGAAAACACTTCCACGAAGCCCCCTGGGGGCTTAGCACTCGGGGGAAAAGGGTTAATTCCCTCAGAGTCTAACAAAGTACTGGGTTCCGAATGGGAAACTTTCTTCGAAAAATTACGGGGAATGGTGACTTCTGAATCATCGTTGGTTATGTCTCCCATCCTTAAGTCCTGCCAGCAGGTCTGCTCGAACAGCACCAGAGGTACTCCGCGGACATCAATTGATTTGAGATCTCGGGTACCTTCCATTGAAGAAATCCTCTTGACCTGATCCGCACCTGGCTGAGAAATCATAAAACCTGACCAGTTCATGTCAATAGTACCCGAGGTCTCCGATGCAATGGCAGATCGTGCCGTCTCTGGCAGAGACGAGAACAGCACGACACGATTCTCGCGCTCCGGGGCGCTCAGAAAACTTTTCAGAACTTCCCCTCGTCCTCCTCGGGAATCTTCTGGAATCCCTTCTCCCTGGCGGAGGAGGCCGCTGCCGGGGTCTGAGGCGTTGGTGGAGCCGACGAGCCCGATGACGTCGCTGCCTCCATGCGGCGCAGCGTGACGTTCTGGTCCTCCACCACGCGCATGATGTTCAGCATCATCTCCTTCTGCTCCGAGAGCTGGTTCTCCGTCTTCAGCAGCCGCGACGCCATCTCGAGTGCCTCCTCCTGGTCGGCCCTCTTCCGCGGCCCCGCGGGAGTGGTCCGACTCTTCGGGGGAGATGGTCCCGATGGAAGCTCCTTCTCCTCGACCGGGGGGCCTATCTCGTCGACTGACATCGAGCTGTCGTCCTGCTCCTCCTGAGTCCTCTGAGGAATCACCCGACGAACTCGGAAGGACGGCCTCGGGTCTTTGTCCGGGCCTCGCTGCTGGATCTCCATTATGTCCTCGTAACTCTGTGGAAGACCGTCCGAGATCATCTCCAGAACGTCTCGGTTTGACCGATACCCCAGACGAAGATCGCAGGCCTGACATTTCCACCAACGAGCGTGTCCGTTGGCATCCGTCATCAAGAAGTGAATCGAGTGGCCGCAGGAGACTTGCTTCGCCATCAGGCGACGGTCTCGCTTGTGCACTCTCGCCGGCCACAGGGAACCGCGCTTCACCATGCCCATGAACTCCCAGGCCCTGGTGTTCACCACTGCCAGCAGCGTGCGCACCATCTTCCACCACAGGGAAGCCACGCGCTCGCCTGGGGTCCTCGTGCTCGGCATCTCCTCGCACCGAGTCACAAGCTGGACGAAGGCCTAACCACTGATCAACGCTTGAGAACCGAAGAAGCTGCGGTCGCACGCCGCTGATACCTTGCCTTCCCGGGTCGTGGTCCTGGGCATCTTCGTCGTCGTCGTGTCTGTCGTTGTTCCTCTTTACTTCTTGACCTCGTCGTCCCTCCTCTACGGTCGTCTCCTTGTCTCGTCTGTCGGACTCTTCCTCACGTCTGTGAACGTCGTCGTCTCGGGGGGCGGATAACGGAGGGGTAAGCCGGAGAGCCGAGACAGAAAAGGAAGGAGAGAGAGAGGACGGTGATGGTATGTAGTGGCCCTGGGGCTGCTTCTGAAGGCAAAAACAGTCCGATTTTAAATTCGGGAACTTCTTCATGAGTCCCTCGGGGCATTTAAACTCGAGGGGGGAAACCACCTCGTCGATCCGAATGCATCTGTGACCTGAGGGGAGGCGCAGCATGGATGCCTCGCAGCCCTGATCCCCCAGGAATGAGAAAAACACCTTGTTCTGAACCAGATCTACTACTGCACCTAGAGCCTCAATCAAACCTATTGGCATCAGTGGGGGTATGTCACCCTCCATCACGTCTAATTCGATGATTCCCATGTGCTTACCTATTCCAGAAGGTAGTAAAACGCTGCTCACAACACGAGCTGAACCGCCTACTCCCCGGGCTGAGCTGTTTCGGGCTGGTAACTGGACAGACCGATACCCTTTCTTTGCCATATGCTCATCGAACAGTGCCAAGGCGGACTGGCCTATCAGGCCTTGTCCGGCAGCCGTGTCTACCACGATGCATCCGGGCGGCACGGGCAAGCACGCCTTCCTGGAAGCCTCCAAGGAGACGTTGTTCCTGCCGAGCACGATGGACAGAGCGCCGTCCACGAGTCTCGCCGCCTCGAGCTCCACCAGCAGCGTGAAGGAGTTGCTGCCACCGGAGTCGTTCAGAAAGATGAAGCCCGTGTTGCGACCCCCGCGCGGCCCGGCCTCCTTGTTGGACGCCTGCGCCGCGCCGGAGCCACCAGCCTGCGGACACTCATTGCCCCAGTGCCCTTTTTGTTTGCATATCCTGCACCGCGTTCTTTTCATGACTTCTGAGAGAGGCATCCTGCTCTTCCTCGGCCTCACCTGCCCGTCCTGACCTCGGCGGCCCTGGTCTCGGGATCGATCAGGGCGAGGCGGCGGTGGAACGCCGTCTGGAGGCGACCGAAGTACTTGCGGCCCGTGCGCAACTGTCTCTTGAAGTCGCGGTTCTGCTTCCATGTTTTTCTCCTCTGCGTCTGCATCTCCACTAGCACCTCTGGCACCTCTGTCTCGCAGAGGTCCCGGCTCTCCAGCGCGGCCAGGAGAACGATCTCGTCGTTCGTGCACATGCTGGAGACGTCGTCGTAGTCAAGCAAGTCGTCGTCCTCGTCGTCCTGCGCCGTCTGGTAGCTCGCCGAGCCGCCGACGCCGGTGGCCAGAGTCTCCGTCAGCATGGTCCTCATCTTGCTGGTGGCCAGCGTCTCTTTCTTGGTAATGTCCAATTCCCGAAGCGCCCTGATGGTGGACGAGTAGTCGTTCTTGTCTCCCGTGAGCACGCGCACGAGTTGGGCACTATGATCGTCAAGAGAAGCTCCTTCTTCGACAAACATCTGTTTCCAGTCATCTGGAACTTCCATCCCTTGAACTCGAAGCTTATCAAATTGAAGATCAAGACGCGCTGTGAACTCCGTGAGTGTCTCATTGGGTCTTCTCTGAAACTGAAGTAGACACTCGCGGGCCGTTTTCCTCCTTTCATCTCCTCTTCTCTCACCTGACAGCACGTCCAAGTAGTCCAAAATGGCTCGGACGCCCCCACTGCTGGTCAATATATCATCTGTCAAGTGTTCTAACTTTCGTTGAAGCTCCACTCCAAGAGCTTTCATTACTTTGTCTGCGCGACGAGCCACTGCGACGTCCGTGCTCGATTGCCATCTCACGATTCTTCGACGCCATAGCTTGAAATCCGGCCAGCCCATCCACGCTTCAGGATCCGTGTAGTCTCCTCTTTCCTTCCCGTCGGTCTTGCCCTGCCACTCGGATGGAGAAGACCACCACGAATCTGACCATCTGGTCTGCGGCGCCCACCATGACGCCGAGCTATTCTCGTTCCAGGCATTCCACTTCTGGTCCTCCGAAGTGTCGGCCTTCTTCCACGGATCTGTCACTGGGTCCGTGTGCCACACGTCGTCCTTCTCGCCGTAGCCCTGAGCTCCTGAGCGGCTCCTCCATTGTCCTTGCCCCTCGCCCTGGTCCCCACGCCAGCGCTCCCCAGAGGCTTCACAATGGTCACCGTTCTCTGCTCTCCTCTCCCATGGTCCGCTCGACCACCAACCCTCCCCTTGGCCGGTGGGAGCTGCGGACTGCGGACCGGCACCTCTAGCACCTCGCAGCTCTTCCCGCACGACTTCTCGAATCACGCGGGCCAGCTCCGACATGCTACCATCCGTTCCAACCTTGCTAAATCCGCGATCACTCGCGGTCGGTGTCCGTGGCGTGGCGGACTGGACTCGCCGCCTTCCTTGAGCTGAGCACCCTCCTCGGCGTCCTCTGTCCGCTCGGTGCTCGCAGCAGCCATCGGAGGATTGAGCGGAGGCGCAGCAGCGTGAGAGCTCCCCGGACCGGGCGTGGTCGAGGAGCTCCGCTACCACTGTCAAACGAAACCTCCTCCTGATAGGCTCTGACTGCGAGTGAGCGGCGGTAAGATGACACGTTTATCTCGCCGAAGGCGCGTCAGCTACTAAAGGTGCCTGTAAGCCAAAAGATGATGACACAAATATACAACAGAGCATGACACATGCACAGGCAAAGAATATAATAACAAAGAGGTTTAATCTCATAGGGACACACTGAATTCACACATGTAAGGATACAATCAAACATGTATCAAGGACGGGTGGTAAGGGCGCAAGACCCTTGGAGGCCGAAGCTGGATGTTGTGGGCGAAGGGCGACCAGTGAAAACTGCAAAGGACGGGCCACAGAGGCAAGGGCACAAGGGTACCCTAGATAAAGGCGCGCGTCCTTACTAGGCGCGTTGACTGTAGGAAGGGATTCAAGGGTAAATGTACACTGATTGGGGAACCTCGTAGGACCCCTGATTCGGTTCGAGCTGGCCAGAGTCGATGCCGAATCGGATCGATCGGATCGAAGTGGATCCTGGGGGAGAGGCAGCAGCGCGAGGCATGGACACGACGTCGACCGCTGAGCGACCGCAGGATGAGACCAAAGAACTCTCAAGCTGCGATTGCGCAGTTTTTGTTCTTGGCCTGGCTCTAGAACATGTCGGATGGCTTCTAGATCGGAACCTCGGCGGCTACGGGTGGCGCAACAAACATACATGCATGCATGCACTCCTGCAGCAAATCACGCGGCCATGTGTTCGCAAGCATGCGCTGCAGAGCGGGCAGATTCGAACCGAGCCGGCCAGAGTCGATGCCGAATCAGGTCGATCGGATCGAAGGGGACCCCAGAGGCGGGGGGGCAGCAGCAGCAGCGGGCCCTCAGGAAGTGCGGGTTCTGGGGTGGGACTCTGCAGGGGACCAGCCCAGACCTTCGACGGCACGGTCCTTTCGAGCCGCTGGACGCAGGAGACTCTCGACCCCTTCCCCAGGGCTGGCTTTTCATCCTCGGTCGCTTCTTCACGGTTCAGGGCCCCAGACACGGCCCCCCACATGCCGCAAGCGGCACAAAAGACCTCGGGAACGATGTGTTCGAATCACCAAGGAGGTCAGGCGCCGGGGGGTCAAGACATCGGGGTGCGGTCCAGCCAGAAGCCCGAAGCGAATCCGGCCATGGCGACCATGACGCTCCAGGATTCAAGAACAAATATCGAACTCGGACAAAACTCAGCACCCGCTCTTCCACCTTCTTTCTCCTCATTGACTACGCAATGCAGTGCCATGCTATGCATCGCGCACCATTTTGGGATCGTTGTCCATTTCAACGTCCTGCTGTGTCAAGATAGGGGGGCTCTACGCAATGGCAAGAGATGGGAGGAAAGGGGTACGACGTCAGGTATGACGCGAGCGCACTTAACTTGTCTTCTCCCCCTCGCGTCTCCCCATCGCTCCTCTCCCCAGATGGTTCCTCCCCACCCGCACTTCGCCCCTACCCCGATATCCCCCTCCCCGGGGGCCGTCCCAGCAGGGCACCACGCAAACGATTCGAGATCCAGCCCAGCCGATGCGCGACCTGCGCTCGAGGAAACGAGTTCCGCTTGTCCTTCGCTCAGGAATCCGACGGAGGTGGGGAGACAGAAAAGGTATCGATACCGATACTTCCCCAGACCTCCCAGGGTGCGTTCTGAGCAGGATGTCGAGGCGAATCTGGCCGTGGCGACCAGGGCCTCCCAGGAGGGCCAAACAGATGTGAACATGGGGGAGGGGTAGCGGTATGGATGCCTGCTCCTCCTCTGAGGAGGTTGGCCAGGAGGAGAAGAGGGGGAGCAACACAGCGTGCGGACGAGCAGGAGGACGGCGACGACGGCGACGGCCGGGAGGAAAAGCCAAGAGAGCAGGGTGGAGGGAGAGAGGGAGGCAACAGCAAGGAGGCGCGAGGACGGGGAAGAGGCGGGAGGAGGGGAGGAGGAGGGGAGGAGGAGGGAGGAGAGGAGGAAGGATAAAATGGTAGACGGAGAGGCGGGGGAGGAGTGAAGGAGGGAGGGGAGGAGGGAGGGGGAGGGGAGAAGACACGGGGGGGGAGAGGGAGGAGGGGAGGAGGAAGGAGGGAGAAAGAGGGCAGAAAGGACGAGGGAGCAGGGGAGGAGAACGGAAGAGGGAGGCCCTCCCTCCTCTCCCCTGCCTGTTTCCTCCGAAGGCAGAGGGAGGAGGGAGGAGGCTTGACGTCCTCCGAGCAGAGGCGGGGAGAGGGGATGCTCGCCTCCTCTCCCTGCTCCCTCCGACGGCAGAGGAAGGCGGGAGGAGGCCTGACGTCCTTCGAGCAGAGGCGGGGAGAGGGGATGGATCAAGGGAGAGAACACGGGGGATCAGGAGGGGGCACGATGGATCAGGGGGAGCAGACAGGGCGGATGGGAAGGGGTCCAGGAGGAGATAGGAGATGAAGGAAAGAGGAATGGACGGGGGAAACGGAGAGGAGTGGGGGAAGGGGGCGGAAGGGAAACACAGAACTCCAACGTCGTCGGCATCGCAATCTGTTCGGAACGTCCCCGAGACTCCTTTCCCCTCATTCCGAGCACCGTTTTGACATTCCCCGGGGCCTGGTAAGGGCCCCTGGAGGCCGCAAATTGCCACGAACATTCCGCTGTGATGTCTCACATCGCGACGAGGTCTGAGACGAGGGGCAGTTCAGGAGGCGAGGCGTGGAGTGAGGAAACAATGGAGGCTTGGAAATGGGCACCAACACCATCACAGGAAGGTGCCTCCGCCGGGCAAAGATGATCCTAGAGTTCGGTGCTGGTGGTAATGTGTCGGCCGCATGGGACGCCCGAAGACTACCACCATCACCGAGATCGGGAGCGTCTTCCCTCGGTGGAGGCACACCGCCGATCTTGGTGCTGGTGTCAACCTCTAGGCCTCTGGACACGGGAGCCCCCCCCTCGCACTGGTACACAGCGGGACGGCCATCGACACCGTCCGCCACCTGGACGGACGCAAGGCTGCACGGCAGCTCAGGATACAGCGACAAAGCACCCCTACCAGAGCAGAGGGAGGTGTCAGCATGACGGACACTGGTGCTGGAGGAAAGGCGTCTTGGATGCTGAGACCATTGCTGCATTCTTCGGCGATCAACTGGATGTTCAAATGTGGGTTGGCAGGGGACGGCCGATAACGCAATATGTTCGCTTTGGGCATCCTCGCGTATACCAACGCGCACCAGAATTACTGCGTATCCCCTTCGGACCTGCGTAACCAACAAAATCAATATAATTATCCGTGGGGGGTGGGGGGCGGGCGGACCCGATAACCCGGGCCACCGCCTGACCCTAGAACAGACTCTTTTGTTCGCCGTTTTCGCGGGCACGGGTGCTAGAACTGTCCAAAAACGCCTCGCGACGGAGAGCTGGTCTTAGGTCGGGCGTGTCCTCCTACAGGCGGATTTGGGACGAACATCAAAAATATCAAAACATATTCAACACATGTTCGAAACATCTTCAAAACAGATCAAGAATCGTTCCGACTATTTTTGTTACTAATTTTCGGTATTGCTCCTGTGGAGGGACACGCCCGACTAAAAGCTGGTCCTGAGAAAAACCCCAGGGGTCTCGGACCGCTTCCCTCGGCACTCACAGCCCACAGTTTCACACTGTCCCGATGCTATGTAGGTTGGTCTTTGTCGTCGCCATCCTCGTCGTCCAGCGATCCGCCTCGACTGCGTGCCAGTAGTAGAGGGCCCCAAGAGGGGGCCAAATCCGCCCCAAGATGGCCTCAAGGGCCCCTCAGAGAATCCCGAGATCCGCAAGACGCCCCAAGAGGCCCCCCAGAGGCCCCCCAGAGGCCCCAAAGACACCCAAAGACGCCCCCAAGTGGCCCTCCAAAGCCCCCGAGAGCCCTCCCAGAGTCCCCCGATGGTCATCCCAAGAGACCCTCCTATGCATCCAAGAAGCCTCTGAGCCACAGCCCAGTCACGGCGGCGTCATGGGCCGAAGGTCATACGATATCCACCGCCCCATGTTGATTCATCACAGGGGTGCCTGGCGCGTGCTAGATGCTTTCGGTGTTGGCTTGCGACTACGACCCACGCCCACGCCGTACGGCGCCTGTGACATCTCGCGGCAAGCGATCCGCGCCCGCGTCCCTCCGCCAGGAGCGCCTGGGTGGACGAGGAGCCCCGGAGGAGCAGCCGTGTGGGGGACCTGAGCAACTGCAGGTCCCTTCCGAAGCCCAACAGCTTCTCATTTCAGCGTCGTGACCGTACAGCAAGCTGTGCTCTCCCACGAGCGGCTCAGCGCAAGATGCTGCAGACGGACTTGGGCGAGCTGCCGGAGGAGAACTTCGTCAGAGAGCTCGTCTACGCAGACGACACCCTGCTGATCAATAGCGATCCACGCGTCGTGCAGGCGCTCATGAATGCCATCGAAGCGTGCGGGACGCATTACGGGCTCAAACTGAACTGACAAAAAGTGGAACTATTGAGGGTAAGAGCTGGCGCTGATATTATGAACGCTTCTGGCGTCCCTATCGCGTGCAAGAGTTCAATCGCATATTTGGGCACCCGTCCTTCTGCAGACGGCAGAATTGGATCTGAACTGAGCTGCCGGAAAGGTGCAGCAGGGCAAAATTTCAAGTCCTGAATTATGTATGGGCGCATTCCACACTTAGCCGGGCGCGCAAGCTGCAACGCGTGCATTGTGTCGAAATTGATATACCGTATTTTTGCTGGCTGTCTGAAAACAAAAAACGAACGCAAACGGTTAGACGGAGTTCACGCCAGTTGCCTCCAGAAAATCTGCCGCGTGTCGTCGGCGTATGTCAGCCGAGCGTCCAATTCTGCAGTTCTCGCCATGGCTGGACAGAGGCCTTTGAGTAAGAGTCTCTTCAAACGACAGATGGTCTTCCTGGGGCAACTCGCAAGGCGCCAAGACGAAGACCCTGTGCGACGTTCTGTTTTCGAGTCAGCTGGATTGTGTCTCCGTCCCCCGTCAGGCCCACGGGGACGCCCAAGACAATCTTGGGGCAGCATGGTCATGCGAAATTGTTTGTCCGTGGCTGGCTCCAGGGAAGCCTTGTCTGTATTCTTCTGTCAAGGAGACAGAGCAGCGGCTTCGTGGGGGTCAGCAGTGAAGAGGTGGAGCCCGACGTAAACAGTGCCGATGTTCTGCACTAATGTTCTCAGGTTTCACCCTGCTCGCGCGCCGTCCGGCGCAAAGGCTTACGCTCGCTCGCTATCCGCGACCTCGCGGGCCAGGCCCCAGGGCCGCGACCTTGCGGATACGGGGACGATTTTTCGCTGATGCCCCGCACGGAAAATATCCGTGCGACCGCGTATCCGCTGGATCGCGCCCCAGAATCCAGACCGCATAGGCGCGGAGACGGGTATGCTTGCGGCAAGCATACCCGTCTCCGCGCCTATGCTCGTGGCTGATGCTCGTCTCTGGGCTATGCCCCACCTTCCCGCCCCGCCCCTGCTCCCAGCCAGGACCCCTCACTCTTGCCTGCAACTGCGCGGCCCAAATGCAATCCCGCCGCGGATGGTGTACGAGGCAGCCGCGGGAGCACCGTGGTGAGCGGATGTGCTGCAGGCACTGTCTGCGAAGACACGGGCGAGCCCACGCAGAGGTGGGCAAGAGACTGGCAGGCTGTGGCCACAGGCCGCACGGCAGCTGCCCTGAAGGCACCTGGGTGCTGTGCCCAGGGGCAGATGTACAACGCAGGCATGCAGGATGTGGCGCGCGAGGACGCAAGGAGAAAGCCGTTGGCTCTGATCAGCCGCGAGGAAGCCGCTGGCCACTCATGAGCGAGCGGTGTGCAACCCAGGGAAGCTTGGTCGAATCTGTCGGCAGAGGAGATGGCGCCCCCCTGCAGGTGCCACGACGGGGGGCTTGTGCGCCCGAGAGCCGCGAGCGGGCCCGGCACCTTCCCGCTCCACTCCGCACTCTCGAGCGAGAGGCAGTCTGTAAAAAACAAAAAACATGCATACATAACAGGACATTCTCAAACAACCACACACACGCACGCACGCACGCACGCACGCACGCGCACACACACACACACAGACACATGCACATGCACACACACACAGACACACACACACACACTGCAAAAAGAAAGCAATAAATGCACGCATAAAAAACGCTCTCACACAAAAGCACTATTTCTTGATATGTGTGTGTGTTTTTTCCTCTCTCTCTCTCTCTCTGAATCACACACGCAATACACAAAACGAAAACTGTGTCGGCCACTGTCGACAGCCTGTTTGATCTTGCTTCGGGCAGCGTCGCCTGAACGGCGGCCTTAGCCGACCCTGGCTGCGGCGAAAAGAGGCCCTCACCCAGGCGGAGTGAAGACGGAACATGTGTATCAGCAAAAACTGTCAGAGGTCCGTGCGGATTTCTTAGGTCTGCGCTGGGCCCCCCTGGAGGCGCCTCCAGAGGCGCCCCTTGTACAGCCCTGGTCCAAGAAATCAGCGCGGACCTCCAAAACAGATTGTTTATACCGATGTACGCAGTTCTTCGAAGAGCAAGTCCCCGCTGACCCAGCGGCGTGAAGCGGCAATCGCGAGACCAAGTAAGCAGGCATCAGTCCACACTGAGTGGTGACACGCGCTTCCCCTTTGCCGCATCATCCTCTCACCGTTCACCTTGTCCTCCTCGCCCTCCAAACTAAGTACCACCGCGTCATGCCCACTCATCTCATCAACGACGAAACACGGCAGGAAGAAAGAGAGAGAGAGAGAGACATAGAGAGACAGAGAGAGACATACAAAAGATATCATTGCAAACCTGACTCCAACATGACCTCGATGTGGCAGGAGGAGCGGGCGGAGGGATGAGTGCTTCAATATGATGTGGCATGTCAATCGACCTCGTCTTGCCCAGTCCCATGCGTGATAAGCGGCATATAGATCCGATAAGAAATGAAAGCTGGTAAAAGCGGTGGAGGTTGGCACGAAGAAGACACACGACAATGCAAGGACCCCGCCTTTCTTCGACGGCCTTTTTGCCGAAGATTGTGTCGCAGCTTGCGGGGGGAGTCGCAAGGCGCAGGCACACGTAGCGTGGACGGGTATGGAAGAAAGAGTGGTCGTCAAGGGGGCTTGCCGAATCAGGAGGCAGGAGGTCCCAATGTATTGAGAAAGCGCCTGGCGGCGTTGCCAACCCATGTGCATGAAGCATATTCCGTGTCCCCTCCCCTCCCTATCCAACCCTATCGTCCGACCCGAGGAGGCACAGCCACAGCGCAGGCAGACGCAGCGTGAAGGGCTGGCGATGCAGTGGCGACGGCTGGCTCGGAGCGGAAAGCTTGCGTGGAGGCCCTGTTGCGAAGAGCGAGGGCTGCCACCGAGATCTAGGCAAGGGCGCTGACAGAATGCCTCCCACGCGGGACCAGAGGCCGCGGCCCCAAGATGGGCGCCGGACAATTACACAGGTCCACCTCCTTCCTCCTCCCTTCCCCTCCTCCTCCTCTGATTGTTTTCTTTGTTTCTGTGAGGGGGATGGGGGAACAACGGCGTGGACCTGTATAACTCTTCTCTTACGATAACATCGTACCGCGTCGCCGGTACAATTTGCGGTTGGGTACTGCCAGATTAACTCGGGAGTTCCCTTAAGATTGATCGTGGGACCTGCCGCCATTTGGTATGGTAACCCAAAGGTCGCGCAAGGGGATCGTTGGGGGCGTGTACGACGCGTCGCCTGGGGCTGAAAGAGATCAAACAAAGAGCTGGGGTGCCCGAATCTGGCTCCGCATTGCCCAATGCCCCGGGGTAGGACGCTTCCGTGTATATATATATATACACATACATACATGTACATACGGGTGCACATACATAATGTGTACGTATGCATGGGTATCTATGTGTATGGTTGTATGTATGCATGCATGTATGTATGGGTGAATGTATGCATGTATGTATGTACATTTTCCTCTTCCTATAGTTTTCTAAGCTAGGGCGGGGGGACCCCCCCAAAAAAAACTGGACTCCCGGGATCTGGGGCTTTGGGACCCTATGGACGGGCCTCGAAGCGACACCCCGGGCCTCGCAGGGCGTGGCGCGCTCCCGAAACGACCCCAGAGAGCCCCAATACGGTCCACGACGACCCCCAAGAAGCCGTCATACCCCCAAAGATCGTCCCGAAACGTCCCAAGAGGCCTCCATGAGCACTCCCAAGAGGGCCCCAAGTGGCAAAAATCATTTTTTTTATCGTTTCTGGTGAATTTTGAGGTTCTCCTCTTTTCGGCTTCCCACCGCTCCAAGACGGCGGTCTTCTGGGCGTCCGAAGCCGCCTGGGAGGCTCAAAAAACGCCCCACAACCGTCTGAAAGAGCTTCCAGGCAGTCCAAGAGGGCCCCAAAATGGCACAACAGGGGTCCAAGATGGTTTTCAGAGAGCCCCATGGCGGCCCAAGATGGCCCCAAGACATCCTCCGAAGCATTCCAAATCGTGACCCGGTCGTTCAGGGAGACCGCGGTTGGAGGCAGGGTGGCCCGAGAAGCCCCCAGAGGCCCCCAGAATACGCCCAGGAGGCCTCCAGAAGGCCTTTCAGAAAGCCTGAAACAACTTTTGTGAGGCCCCCAAAGACTCTCCAAGGAAGAGCCTCCGCAAAAAGAGCTGAGGAGGTTAGGGAGAATGCGCAGGGCATGGCGAAAATGAGGAATTACCCTGTGACGTACCCAACCCATTTGTATCAATGGAAACGATGAGTTGGCCGAAACTTGTATGGACAGTCAACTTGATGTGTAAGCTGCCTGGGAGGCGTCACTGTGCTGGGCCCCGCAAGCAGGCCTCGAAAGTGGCGACAGTTTTACAGATCGCAGCCCCCCAGGGATAGCGAGGTCTAATTAGAATCTGCGTGTGGCGTCACTGTGCTGGGCCCCCCAGCACGCCGCGAAAGTGGCGACAGTTTCACAGATCGCAGCCCCCAGGGATGGCGAGGTCCAATTTGAGTCCGCCGTGGGTACCCACTGTGCTGGGCCCCCCAGCAGCCCTCGAAAGTGGCGACAGTTTCACAGATCGCAGCCCCCCAGGGATGGCGAGGTCCCATTTGAGTCCGCCGTGTGTGCCCACTGTGCTGGGCCCCCAGCAGGCCTCGAAAGTGGCGACAGTTTCACAGATCGCAGTCCCTGGGATGGCGAGGTCCAATTTGAG